CTGTTGCTAGTCTGAAGCTCTGGATGAGCTGCCTCACTGGAAACCTGTCTCTGGCCTGAAGCTCTGGGAGAGCTGCCTCACTGGAAACCTGTCTCTAGCCTGAAGCTCTAGGTGAGCCTAACCTGCTAATCTGCCTTGGTGAGCCAACCTGAAGATTCCTATGTGGATTTAACCTGAAGACTTCTATGTGGAGTTTACCTGAAGGTTCCTATGTGGAATCAGCCTGTTGTTCTCTGCAATGAGCTGGAAGCTCAGCCTGAAGAATCCTATGTGGTCATTCCCCTGTTGTTCTCTGCAAAGAGCTGGAAGCTCAGATCAAGGTCTGCCATGCTAAGCCTGAAGCTAGATGCTTAGTTTCTCATGAACTCTGCTAACCAACAGTCTCCGGTCCCAGTTAAGACTTTAGTGATCCAGCTTGGACCAGTTCCAGACCCAGTTTATGTCCTTGTGTTTTGTGCTTTATTAATAAACTCTGTTGAACTTTTACCCCGTTTCCGTGTGTGTTCTGCATTTTGGGCTAAACTCAGAGACCCATCATGACAGGTTCATGATGCTGTGGCAGGTGCTGAGGCTCAGCCCTTCAAACTGGATCTCTTTTCCTGGGGACAGAAAAATGACCAAACTTCAGCAAATCTTAGACGGGCTGATGGATTCTAGCACCATCCCAGCTGCAGGATCAGTAGAGCTGGTCTTAAACTTTTAGGAGAAAACGTAAAACCAGTGAAAAACTAAAAGCTTCCTCATTAAGCATCTCTAAGCAGTTTTGTGGCTTTGTTTTTTTTCTCTTCTTCAGGTCACACTTTTACAAATTATGGATAAGTTGGTGTTTTAATGTTGCTGTTCATTCCATAGATTGTGTTTTCTTTACTATTCTGATCTTTTTTTATCATTGGTTAGCAAATAAAGTAACTAAGCCCTTATGAAGTGACCATCTGCTGAGTGCCAGTGTGATTCTTATTTAATGTGATATATATTACAGTCCCTCAGTCAGGAAGCCTCAGCTGATGGTCCTGAACTTATTAAGTCTTATTTAATAACTATCACTCATTATTTCATCATCTATTCCAGCTTGTCATTTATCTGTTTTCATCTGAATCGTATTCTCTCTCTCTCTAGCTCTGTTCGAGGTTTCAGAAATGAGGCATAAATGCTTGATTTTGCCATTTTTCTTCTACTTACGTCGACTGAGAACACCATTCAGCATCTGCTGCAGCTCCATCACAGAGATAGCCTGGTCCTGTTGTTATGTAAAAGAAAGCGAAGCTGCTTAGAATCTGATCCCAGCTGGTGTTGCTCTACGCTGTGAAAGGGTTTTTCTTACCGAACCGGCCAGCTGCTCAAACAGCCTCCTCAGGCCTTTCTCCTCATCGCTCTCCTCCTCTGGAGGGCTGGGCATCGGGGGCTGCAGGAAGACATTCAGCCTCAGTACCAGCAGAGCCACTAAACAGCTGTTATTGTCTGGGGTTTAATTACCTCTGGCAGGTCTGCGTCCACGTTGGTCCCCATCTCTCTGTTTAACAAAACACGTGTCATCATGAAGTTTTTTAAAGCAACTTTAACAGCAACAAAGAGGCCAACACCATGAGGGTCATTTTATCTCAACAGGATGTTTAGAAGAAGTCTAGATGTTTCTACTAGCTGTAAACAGTAGAAGTTCACTAGACTAATCAGTGGACTCTGAACACTCACATGGCTTTGGCTGCTTTCTCTGAGAAGATGCGGATGAGGAGGTCGGCCTCGCGGTGGGGCTGGAAGGTGGTGGGGACCAGCAGGTACTTTCCAGGAGGCAGGGTGAAGCGCTTGGACACCTACCGCATGTTGATGTACGTCCTGCTGCGAGCCTTGGAGGGGTGGTAGCGGAAGAAATCCTTCCCCACTTGGTCGTCATCCTCTGGAGCCTTTATGACCAGAGAGAGAAAGACATGGGCTATGAGTTTGAGAATAAACGTTAACAGATCATCTTCAGCCCGGCTGTGGTGGAATGATCACAGCATCAAACAGAGTGGATTTTTGGGTAGGAAGGATCCTGATGCTCTGATGTCAGTATGGTGCTGTGTCTCCTTCAGGAAGAACACACACTACTCCTCTAACCAAAGCTAAGAATCAGCATCGACTTTAATTTGATGGTAGAACATTTTTCAAAAAGCAGAAGATAATGTCAGGAGATCCAGGAGGAAACAAGACTTGCCCAGAAGGCTTAGGATTAGTTTCCTCCTGAAAATAAATGACTGAGTAACTTCAGTGATCAAGTTTTAATGTAAAATTTCTGTGTAAAAATAACACAGAAAATACATAATTTCTGTTTTTTCTTTTTTTCTTTTCTTGTTTTGTTTTTCTCCCTTTTTTCCCTTTTTTTCTACTTCATTTCAATCAGCAAATGTTTTGGTTCTTAAAGAGATAAAATAAAAACAGTAAATGCTGAAGCATCAGATGATTTATTCTTTTTCAAAAGTTAAATGCAAATTTTATTTATTTTTTTATTTTTTTTACTCCATACATCTCAGTTCATGTGCAATAATGTTATTGCTGCAGATGAAAAATATCTGATTTTTTCATTACTTTGGAAAACATCTTCCCTCAGATTTAGTGTTTTTTATGTTGTACACACCCTCTGCAGTGCCTCTATGGCCCACCAGGGGGACCCAACACCCAAGTTGCACTGAAAAATGTTATATAAATTAATCCATTTCTCTTGAAATAAGTTTATTATCTCTTTTTCATTTTAACAGGTAAATAAGAATTTTTTTCAATGGAAAAGATTATTTACGCCTAAAGAAGAAAAATTATCTCCTTTATCTTATTTTAACAGCATAAATATCTATTGGTCTTATTCTAAGGTAGAAAATATAAATTTCATGGGCACAGATTTAAATTCAAATTAAGTGCAAATATGTGCAGTTTTTGACTAGTATTTATAGTTTAAAGACATATTTTTTAAAGGCCAGATTAGTAAACACAGATTAAGTATTGAGGTTTGCGCTGGGATTAGGATACGGTGGATGTGTGGATGACTGGGGAAGAACTTCAAGTCCATCTCATTTAATTATAAACTCATCAGGGGCTGGTAGTTTTCATGGACACAGATTACTGATGCCTCAGACTTCCTTTAAATGTTCCATTAGTGTTTTCTCTCTGCAGACAGTATTTCCTGCATAATCAAACTTTATTGTTTGGAAAAGCTGGATTACAGTGCAAAGAACTAAAACCTTAGAAATTTTTGACCTCTGTTTTTAGTGTATTTTTTCTGTATTTCTGCAGGTATTCATGAGACATTCTACCATCAGTATAAAATTAAACACATTTAAAAAAGAATAACTCAGCTCGTTTATCTTAGTTACAATGCACATTATCTAATGATTTTATTTTAAGGGTAGAAATAGTTTGTCTATTGAGTGATTACCTTATTTATCTGCTCAGTTTAAGGACAAATTCACCTGCTTTAAATTTTTTATTTATTTTTGGATATTTTTTTTGAGCTCTAAGGCTGTGATGAGGTGGCTAGCTTGCACTATGACCAAAGATTTAAGGCGTGGTAAATCTCAAGTTGAAAAGGTTGATGCTCTTATGCATTAGAGTGCTTCACTGTTTACCTCTAACCCAGCAGCACGGGAACATTTTACTCACCTCATACACAGCAAAGCCAATTGTTTCCAGGTCCAGGCCTTCTTTCCTCAGCTTCCGTCTGTTCTTCTGCATTAGAGCAATCACCACACTGCAGACGTCGTCATCATCATCAGCGTCCTCCAGCTCCAGCCTAAACTGTGGGTTGGTCCAGAATGTGTCTGCAGATCAAAGGGTTGAGGTCAAAGATGGCTGCATCTGAGTCAATATTCTTGTGATCTGCTGAATAAATTATCAGCCCACCGATGTAGTTCCTGCAGCCTCCAGCGGTGGAGCTGCGGATCCAGTTGCCCTCAAAGACGTTGACCTCCCAGTGGCGTTTTGTGTTATCATCCAGGGCGTCGGGGGTCATGTTGCAAATCTCCACCTTGTCAAAATTCCTCTTGAAGTCTTCAAACTCCATCCTGGAGTTCAAAAACAAAAATCAAACACAACCATCCATCTGTGAATCAACACGTCTGTTTTCCACCTGCTGGACAGACTCTTCCAGCCAAACGGACCAATCAAAGCATCATCAAGCATCGATTCTCACTGATCAACAGATTTCTGGGGGTTAGGCGCCTTGCCCAAGAGCAGACTGACTCAAAATCAAACCTTCAACAAACATCATGGCTGTTTTTTGCTATTGGGCCAACACAGAAAAACACATGTGAATACCACGTGTGGAAACCATGTGCCACATGTTCAATAAATAAAAAAAAAATCAGATTCAAATGTAGAAGCACATCTATATTTGGGAACATCTCAAATGTGCCTCAAATGTGAATCACATGTGCGTCAAATGGGAATAAAACGTGGAAATGTGTATCAGATGTTAATTTCCCATGTGAACATTACATGTGGAACCCATGTACTACATGTGAAATAAATAAAAAATCAGATTCACATGTAGAAGCACAGTTATCTTTGGGGAGATCTCATGTTTTTCCACATGTGATTCCCATGTTTTCCACATGTGCCTCAAATGTGAATCACGTGTTTCAAATGAGAATAACATGTGGCATTTTATATCAGATGTTAATTTCACATGTGATGCATCACTTTCATGTGAAACCAGTGTGGTCTTAATATATGGTGCACATGTGATCACAGGTTTCACATGATCAAAAGTAAAAAGGAACATTGATCACACAAACAAAAACTTGATCACATGTGGACATGTCACCAACATATGTAGAAGACTTCCGTGGATTTTTTATGTGGAAAATGGTAATCACTTGTGAAATTCTTACAATTATGAGGATGGAAATCTTACGTGCGAGATTGGAATCACTTGCGAACACATGAAGTTCATGGGATATTTTTGTAAAGGAATGTTGCCCAAAGTGAAAAACTTTCATCATCCATCATCTGTATTTACATATGTGTACATTATTGTAATTATTTGATTCCCAACAAATAAATTCAGAGTTCTCACCAAAATTCTTCATCTTCTTGAATTCTGAAGGATCCGGGATTTCTCTGCTTTGTCAAAAGAATCCCACTCTCTGGAACTGAAACAGACGAGGCAGTGAGTGATCGGCAACATTCTTATCAAGCAGACATGGGGAATGTGGAGGGAACTTCATGCTGTTCTCATTTTTTATTTTAGAACCCTATAACTTTTCTAAACTGAGAGAAGGATCCTCTAGGGGGCCAGAGGCCCCTGAGAAAACACTGAAGTGATGATAAAAAAAGGAAGAGAACAGTTTGATTTGAAGCTTCAACCAAAAGGCCAGATTTATTCCCAGTTTTATTTGGGATTAATTTGGATCATCCAGCTTCAGTACAATCAATAAAGCTCTTCCAGAAGTTCTTGCAGAATGAAACCTTCAAAGCAGGATCTAAGTTTAAGCTGCAGTCTGGTTGCTAGGTGTTGAACAGAGTAATGGAAAGTCTGCAGGTTCCTCTGGTTCGATTACAGAAAAATCAGATAAAACTTTGAAGTAAAGGGTTAGACATCAAGGTTATTTTAGAAAAGCCTTTCACTAAACCGTACTCAGCATAAATATCTCAATTTATTTATTCATTTAAAGCTCCTGTTTTAGCACAGGTGCTTTTAATTTGACAGTTCACAGACAGGACTGTCATGTTCGGATTAATGTGTCTAATGTGTCTTTCAGGAGTTTCAGGTTTGTCAGGAGCATAGAGGCGTGAAAGGGCGTCGGGTTTAATGTTTTTAGAACCGGGCCGGTAAGAAATGATCAGATTGAATCTGGAGAAAAACTGAGACCAACGGGACTGATAGGGATTGGATCTTTTTGCAGACTGAATTCTTGTGATCTGTCCATACCAGAAAGGGATGCTCTGCGCCCTCCAGCCAATGCCGCCATTCTTCTAGAGCCAGTTTAATGGCGAGGAGTTCTCTGTCTCCGACGTCATAATTTTGCTCTGCGGGAGAGAGTCTGCGGGAGAAAAATGCGCATGGATGAGCTCTTTGGTCAGAAGCAGAAATTTGGGACAAAACTGCCCCCACCCCAGAATCAGAAGCATCCACCTCCAAAATTAACTGCTTGGAGGGGTCCGGTTGGATGAGGATGGGTGCATTAGAAAACAGAGCTTTGAGTTTTTTAAAGGCAGCCTCAGCCTCCGCAGACCAGTGAAAAGTCTTTTTGACAGAAGTTAATGCAGTCAGAGGCTGAGCTGTCTGGCTGTAATTGCGAATGAACCTCCGGTAAAAATTTGCAAACCCCAGAAATCTTTGTAGTTGTCTTCGGTTCTCGGGAGTGGGCCAGTCCAGAACCGCCTTGATCTTATCCTCTGACGGCTTCACCTGCCCGCCCTCGAGCACAAAACCTAGGAAGGTGACAGATGGATGATGAAACTCACATTTTTCTGCTTTAACAAACAGTTTGTTTTCAAGAAGTCTTTGTAGAACCAAAAGGACGTGCTTTTTATGTTCAGAAATGTTCTTGGAGTAGATCAGAATGTCATCAATATAGACAAAAACAAATATGTTCAAAAAATCTCTCAAAACAAGCAGGGGCGTTGGTGAGATCAAAAGGCATTACCAGATACTAAATCTGACCTAGTGGAGTCTGAATGCGGTTTTCCATTCATCTCCCTCTCCGATTCTGAGGAGATGATAGGCGTTTCTTAAGTCCAACTTAGTAAACACAGTTGCTCCTTGGACGGGTAACAAAGGCTGATGCTAACAAGGGTAATGGGTATTTGTTCTTGACAGTAATTTGGTTTAATCCTCTGTAATCGATACAAGGTCGCAGAGATCCATCCTTCTTGCCAACAAAGAAGAAACTGGCCCTGAGAGGAGATGAGGACGGTCGGATTATACCGGCGGCTAAGGACTCATTAATATAATTCTCCATAGTCGCCCTCTCGGGTTTGGAGATATTATAGAGCCGACTGTTGGGAGGGGGGCCCCCAGGAGAAGATCGATTGCACAGTCGTAAGGTCTATGCGGGGTGAGAGAAAGTGCACTAACCTTGCTGAACACTGGTGCCAGGTCATGGTAGTCAGGAGGAAAGATCAGGCGGGTCAGCCTCTTGACGACTGGCCGGAGACTGAGTCGAAGGTGCGGCGGAGCGGAGACAGATACAATGGCAGAATGCAGACCAGGACTCAACATGTCTTTTTGACCAATTTATGTGTGGGTTATGGTGTTGAAGCCACTCAAAACCAAGGACAATGGAAGAGCTAGCTGATGGGAATACAAAATATGAAATAGTCTCTCTATGTTTACCAGAGATCAGAAGTTCTAGCGGCTTGGTTTGGTGCGTGACCTGAGGTAATTGTTTACCATCGAGGGCCGAAAATCTCAGGGGCTTGGTTAATGGGGGGGTTTCAATGTTTAATTGTTTGACCAAACTGGAGTCTATCAGATTCTACTCACAGCCTGAGTCTATCAATGCTGATAAAGTGAGGGATTGACTTTTGAAGAATAGAGTTGCAGGAAACGGAAGACGAGGAGATTTTTCAGTTTGGAGATGGTCCGCCAGACTCCTCATTTCCTCTGGCGGATCCCGGCTTTTACCTTAGCTGGGCAGGTTGAGACAAAGTGTCCAGGTTCTCCACAGTACAAACATAGGTTCTCTTTAAACCTCCTTTGCCTCTCTTCAGATGAGAGCCTGGTGTGGCCGATCTGCATTGGCTCAACTTCTGAGGGTACTGTGGGAGGAGAGAAGTAATGAGTCTTAGTAACAGGAACAGATACAGGTAGATAACGGTTCTTAGATCTGGACTCAACTTCTGAGGGAACTGAAGAAGAAGAGACGTCATTAGTCTTAGCAGCAGGAGCAGAAACAGAAAAGACATGGCCTCTAGATCTGGACTTGGGTCTGGCTCGCAGTCTGTTATCTAAACGGATTGTTAACTTAATTAGTTCCTCCAAAGTCGTAGGTTCATCGAGAGTGGCCAGCTCGTCCTTAATAGAATCAACAAGGGCGTGAAAATAAGAGCTTTTGAGCGCTGATACGTTCCAACCGGAAGCAGCCGCTTTAACCCGGAAGTCGATAGAGAATTCAGCCACAGTTCTATTACCTTGCTTGATTTCCATCAGTCCGCGAGATTCAGAGGACTTATCAGTGTCTTGATTGAAGACTTGTTTAAATTCCTGAATGAATTCCACAAAAGTACAACCAAAACTAGTTTCAGAAGAAAATCTGGCTTCCGCCCATTCTAAGGCTTTTCCGGACAATTGTGACAAAATAAAGGCGATCTTCCTCTTGTGATTTGGAAAACTCGACTGAGAATGTTCAAAAATTAGCTGACACTGGAACAAAAATCCCTTGCACTTACTTGGATTGGATTGCCAAAAAAAGTGGTCACCCACTCCTGACCACTCGTGACTGGTCATGAGTGGGTTTACTGCTGAGGAGGACAGAGAGATTAGTGGAGGTCCAGGTATTTTGCAGGTTGTGAGTGTTCAGGTCAGTACCTGTTCTGGAGTGGAGCAGAGCTGCAGAGGGGGGGAACCTTGAGGGTCCAGAGGTTGTCGGCAGGCTGAGGGCAGAGGCGGAGGCAGAGCTTACAGAGTGCAGGCAGATCTCAGATTGAGTTTCCTTCCAGTAATCTTCGGAGAGCGGGCAGGCAGATACTTGACAGAGACAGCTCTCCAGAGTTCAACTGAGAACGAGCAGACAGATCACCGGCAGAGAAACTCTCCAGAGTTTCAGGTATTCAGGCAGGATCAACCTGGGAAGCAGAGAGGAGAAAAACAGGATCAGGTTTGGTTTACAGAAAGTCAGAGTTCACAGACAGGCAGGTTGGCTCATGCTTGCTAACCGTTACTGGCAAACACTCTGGCACTGGAGTGAAGCCCTCCGCCTCCTTAAGTACAGATCTCCTGATGAGCAGATGGGAGACAGGTGGTCCGGTCGGCTCATGCTCCAGGAGATCTTGTGGTGGAGAAAGTGGACAAACCTCCAGATCCCAACAAGGACATGGGTTTGACAGAGATTAAGAAGAGATGTGATAACGTTCTAGAAGCAGAACATGACATCTATACACTTCACAGTCCATCTGCTACACCTGCCTGTGACATTAGCATTTATTTTATTTTGAAAGTCAAAGAGTGAATATTTTCCCCCTACTTGTCGCTCCAGTTGCCGTTCCACTCCACCTGACCCCATGGGTTTTTGAGTCGGATCAACTTGATTCTCTGGCCTCTGAAGTTTACCTGGAAAACAAAGATTATATATATAACCCCCCTTTGTGAGCTTTAAAATAAAAATATATTCCCCAGATTTCCTGAAATATAATTCAATAAATTACTGATGGTTTTATCTTTAAAAACCTCAACAGCTCAAATCATTGCAAAATTTATCCAGAAATTGGTAATTTTGAAATTAATCAATTTGTCCTTCATTTTAAGACGTAAGTATGATTATCTGCACATCAGATAATTTATTTTATTTTAAGAGCTAAAATCTTATTCTCACAGACGATCATTTTTCTTAACCACTTAAATCAAGTGCAATTAAACTTTTTACAATAAAATCTACTTTTACTTTTTCGCAGGCAGATAATGATAAATATGAAGATTGTTAAAATCCAATGGCATCCAATCCTGTATCTAATAAAGAAGTAAACAGTTAAAGTGCTAAATAATCACAGTATTTAGTTTATTATTATGAAATCTTGTTTTGAGATTGATAAACTAGAAAATGATTCCAGATTTTTGGTCTAATTTTGATTGGACTTTTTTTAAAAGACACAAGCTGCTCTTACTGTAATGGATTACTGTAATGGATATGGATGGACCCAAAGACAACCCGCAAACAGGTCAGTGAAGCTTTTACAGTCTTTGAGAGGGTGGCACGGACTCCCGGGAAGTACGGTCAGGTTCAGCGACAGGCAGCTCCTGACCACGGGAAGACTCGGTTGGACTCAGTCTGGTTACAGGAAAGGAGGGAGCTGTGCTGAGGAAATCCAAGGTTCTTAATCCAGGTTCGGTCCGGGTCTTGACGAGGGGGGAGTCGGTTAATCCAGCAGAGGTATCCAAGGGAGAATCCAGAGGAAGTTCCAAGTCCAGATCCAGTTCAAAAATCCACAAAAGCAAAGACAGTTCAAAGGGGCAGGCAATCTCAGTTTCTCACAGGCAGGCTAGGTCAGAAACACGGGTTGACAGTCCAGATCACTGAGGCTGACGAGCAGGGCTCAGACGGGCAGACAAAAATCCAGAAAGGGGTCAGGCTGGCTCAAAAACAGGGGCAAAAACAGGTCGAGGTTCAGACAGGCAGAGCCACGTAAAAAATAGGCTGGAAGTTCTCACCGTGAGGCTAAAGACGTTCTGGCACTGGAGGCTGGAGGGACGGAGCCTTTAAGCAGGAGAAGAGGAGTGAGAACAGGTGCACTGATTGCAATTAGCAGCTCCAGTGCCAGGAACGTTACACTTACTTAGTAAATCAACCTTGAAGAGGATCAAAAAGAGTTTTTACTGTAAGATTGTAAGACGTGGTTAGATGGACAATTTTTGCAGTGTTTGAACCAAGATTAACTGTTCTGTGAATGTGGTAGGCTGACCACAGTCAAAGTAGACATTTTAGTAGACATGTTGGGTAGGTCGTTTTTTGCCCCACCGCCCCTGAGGAAGATGAAAGATGTCTGCATCAAACTGAAAACTTTAATAATTTCTTCTACTTTTGACCATTAAAATTATGTAATAACCAAGATATTCCCAGACATTCCACAGAAAGCAGGTATCCCATTTCACCAACAGCTGCCCAGTTTCAATGTCTACAGAGATAATTTACTGACAGTTTCTCCTAATTCAAACAGGTCTGACTTGTTTCTGACTCATTGCTGAGGGGTCCTACCTCTTCCAGGCCTGTAATGGAGTAGGCGTGTCCCTTCACAAGGCCTGTGCTAGTCTTGGCTTCAGACTCGGCAGAGCTGGTGATCTGGACCAAAGAAAACCAAAGAACTGAGACCAGTTTGAACTGAAACACTGATCCGAATTTTTGAATGAGAGGATATATTTAACATGAATCCACAGGAGACTTACATGAATCGCTGGACGGCAGAATTATTCTTACATCAATGGAGCATCCCATCATGTAGCCTCTGTCTAAGGCCTTTTTCATGAGCGCAAACAGGTGTTCTGGAGGTTTCCGGCTTTCATACACCTCTCCAACTCCACCAGTGAAGTCCTCTATGGCCTCCATGGTGCCGCCGCCTTTAAGGGACTCATAACTGCCATTAATCCTGACAAAACCAGGAAAGAAGAGGATGTATTAAGCAATAAAACTCAGTTTCATTGCTTTATTCCAATCTGATGCTGTCAGTGACCTTACTTGGTGTAGGATTTTTCCATCAAGGTGCTCCAGAACTCATTATTGGAGGCAGAGTGAAGCATGATGAGCTGATTTCTCACCGTCGGCAGCCTGTTGTCCACCACCACATCCAGCCATTTTTTTGTGTTTCCAGAACTAAGTGGGACAAGATAGAAAAAAATCACAAAAAAATCAGCCTTTTATTCCATGGATCTAAAAAACCTAAATCTGTATACTAATAAATATTAAATGTATTTTGTAATGTAGAAGCATATTTATTTATATAATATTTGTATTGACAGGAATATAGAAACTAAAATGCTATTTCCATGATAATGTGAACAGACTTGGCAAATAAAGTTAATTCTGACTCTATACAATATAATTACAGTGCAAAAAAATGAAACATAAATAAGTTGAATTTATGGAGCAGGTAAGAAAGACAACTTGCCATGGAAAAAGATGATTTATGTCTAACCTATTAATGCCTATTGTAGCAAATATGCAACAAACCTAAGAACCTTTGGCAAATCCTTGTTTCTAGGGGGACTGATTCAATTCAATTCAGTTTATTTCTATAGTGCCAATTCACAACACATGTCATCTCAGGACACTTTACAGTTCACCAGATCATCCAGTCAGATTGATTCAAATATTTCTGTCTAAGGAAACGAGTTGATTGCATCGCCTCATAAACTTGAAGGCAATCCCTCACTATATTCTACACAGCCTACATTCTGAGATCAACTCTGTGTGGCCAGTTTTGCAGTCATTTAAATATTTCATTTTTTTAGTTTGTATATTTGTTATGTTTTATCTGTTTTGCCTACTCTTGCAAAGTTGCTACATACCTGTCTTTATATTTCATATTTTTGTGCAATAGTCAAAGTAAAAATTTCAACTTAATTTGTCATCTACTTAAAGGCAAGAAACACTCTTTCCTGTTTTATATATTCCTGTATGAATATGTAGGCATCAAAGGCCTAAAATAGGAAAGAAACAACACCATTATCCTATCCTAAGATTATATTATATTATATTTATTATATTGTATTATATTGCCCTGCGATGGACTGGCGACCTGTCCAGGGTCCTCTCACCCATTGACTGCTGGAGATAGGTACCAGCAGCCCTCACGACCCCAATTGGGACAAGCGTGTCAGATAATGGATGGATGGATGGTATTATATTATATTATATTATATCTAACTATCCTATTTTAAGGGTAAATATACTCACATCTCATTAACCTACTCAAGTTAATAGGAAATACACTTATTTGAATGAATCTTTACTTATTTTTAGATCTGTTTTTTTGCAATGTAAAACTGAAAATATATTTTTCATTTAAATTAAGTTACCTGTTACCAGTCAGAGATAATTATCTTTAGAAAACAACCAAAATGTTGAAATGTTGAATGTTGAAGACACTTGGTCCTGAGGGTGAGGTGGAGCTCCTATGTGGCACCCATGCTGCAAGGCTGCTCAGCAAGCTGCCCCCAGAACAGAGAGCTGATTTCGGCAGATGCATGTTCAGCCAGTCTTAGAGAAGTTACACTCTCTACGACCTAGCTCAATGGCTAAAGCATGAAGCCTGGTGTCAAGACTTTGATGGCCAATTATCTTCTAGAGGGGTAAAAGCCAAGCCCATTGCTAAGACTAGCACCAACCCAAGGAAGCCCTCTGTAACTGTGTTGCATGGAACAGACAGTACACCTAGGGAGGTCAAACCTACAAGTGACTACTGTGCATTCTGCGACAACCGAGAACACCACCTGAGTCAGTGCATGACCATCAGTAAGCTAAACAAAGAACAGCTAACTGAGTGGATCAAGACTAACAAGAGATGTTGGTGCTGTGCGCACTCACACCAGGGGGCTCAATGCACCTTAAAAAAGACCTGCAATCTGTGTCAAGGTTGACACCTACAGGCACTACACGACGTCAATACAGCGACTCAGAGAGGTCCCACACAAGCAACAGTGCCACCTCAAGGTGGCAGCACAACCTCCACTGAGGTATTGTACCTGGATCGGCCAGCTGAAGGCAGCAGAGTGCTGCTGAAAGTGGTCCCAGTGTTCCTGTACCATGGCGGCCGCACTCTGGACACCTATGCTGTATTAGATGACGGGTCAGAGAGAACGATGCTGCTGCCAGCTGCCAATGAGGCATTAGGTCTCCATGGAACTCCTGAGTCCTTACCTCTACGTAGTATCAGACAGGATGTCCAAACCCTACACGGAGCCAGCGAGTCCTTCGCCGTTGCCTCCAAGGCAAGACCCAAGACCAAGTATCAGATCACCAATGCCTTCACCTCTACCCGCATCGATCTCGCCGACCATACGTATCCTCTGGAACAGTTGCAGAGTAAGTATAAGCACCTCTCAGGACTGCCTCTTCAGCTCTTCAAGAGGGTCAAGCCACTCCTGCTCATAGGCAGTGACCACCTCTACCTGGTGACTCCTACCCAGCCAGTACGACTGGGTCCACCTGGTGGTCCAGCAGCGGTCCACACCAGGTTGGGCTGGGCCTTGCAGGGCCCCTACAGTGCCTTATGCCAGATCTCCAGCCCACGGCACTGCTTCTTCACTTCAGTTCCCCCTCAAGTCACTGAGTTAATGAGGAATGTTGAGAAGCTGTGGCAAGTTGACCTCATAGCACTCAGGGGCAGCAAAGTGGTGACCCGCTCCAAGCAAGACAACCTTGCCATCAGCCTGCTTGAAGGAAGAACAACCCGTGAAGAAGTAAAGAGCATCTCTCGCTTCGCCACCCCCTTGCTACGGTACAAAGACATGCCATGCCTTCAAGCCATCCCCGAAGCAGTCCTATCAAGCCTCAGAGGAGTTGAGAGACGACTCCAGAGAGATCCTGAGAAGGCCACGGTGTATCATGCTGAGGTAGACAAGTTGATACAGGCAGGGTCCGTTGTAAAGCTTGACCCATCAGAAGTTAACCCCCCACCTCTTAGTTAGCCATAATGGCAAACACCGACTTGTATTCAACTGCTCGTTCCAGTATCGAGGTCAGAGCCTCAAAAAACACCTCCTACCTGGGCCTACTCTAGGAGCCTCTCTGCAGGGAGTCCTCCTTTAGATTTCGGGAGCATGAAGTGGCTGTGAGTGGAGACAGAATTCAATTCAATTCAATTCAGTTTATTTATATAGCGCCAAATTCACAACACA